TAGCAGTTTTCTAGAGATAAGGTGCTTTTGCCTGGAGTAAATTCAACAGTTGTATTTTTGTTAACGATCCATATTTGACAAAGGGATTAGCAATCATATTTCTCTGTCCCTTGTATAACTTTAGGCTGCAGTTGTTCTACTAGTTAGAAAATTGGGAGGTGGAAATGTTGGAATGAAAACATTTTACACTTGCTTGGTACAACAGAAATGTTGGAAGATTGAAAGTGGAGTGCAACTTACTTACATTCCACCCCTCAAATTGTGGTTCTTAGTATGAAAGTGAGCTTAAAGTGAATTTTTATCCGTCTAACCAACAATTAGTGAAAATAAACCTTTGCATTCTGTTGTCCTGCTCCATTCTCACATTTATCCTCATTTTCCACCTTCTCAAACAATAATAGCCTTAGTCTGTTGATCACATCTGGAAGACTTTAGACACTAGTTTGAGCTTGGTTTTGTTTCCAAATTAATTAATTGATTTCAATATGGAGTCTTTAAGTTGGGGGAAGATCTTCCACTCTTAGAACTGTCTGTCTTTAGTCATGGCACATTTGAAAAAATGGATGAGTTGTATATAGACTTGTATAAAATTAAGTGTAGAAGTGAAATATTGTGCTTGACTCTCATCGCCAAGCTACATAATTTATCAGCCGAGTCTTTTCTATCCATTCCCTATGGGAAAATGCCAGAGCTTGAATTTTTTGTTGCCAAAATGGCTCCTACCACTAGATTTCATCCAATAATCATCCTTAAATAATAATAATAATAATAATAATAATATTTTATAATTATTATTATTATTGTCATTATCATTATTGTTATTATTATTATTATTATTATTATTATTATTATTATTATTGTCATTATCATTATTGTTATTATTATTATTATTATTGTTATCATCATCATTATTGTTATGATTATTAATTTTTTGTGTTTATTTAATATATGCTTTCTCAGTTCAGATGATTCTCCCATTATGTGTTTTTACATTTTGTGCATCATTAATTTCAGATTGGTCTCGCAGTTTCTGACCATTTAAGATCCACCTTATTTTTTTGGGCTATGGTGTTAAGGAGAGTCATGTCACGTTATGAAGTCTGTTGTGTGCAATGCGCAAAAATTAGTTGTCGTGTTTTTTCTTAAATTTGCATCTGATATTGTCTACTTGACAGGTTGGGACTCCTATTTGTATTCCTTCCAGAGAGTTCATTGACATTGGCCGCATTGCCTCGATTGAGAATAACCATAAACCTGTTGATTATGCGAAGAAGGGGCAGAAAGTAGCCATTAAGGTATGTGCTTGAACTGAAACTAGATTCTTTATAACAAGCATCTCTGAATTCACCAAGTTTGCCCAATGAAAAATGGAATTTGAATTATGGACTTAAAACCTCCCTTGTTCTGGAGAAGAAGGAAAAGCTTATGTCTTTGAGTTTTTGAATGATGTTGAAAAAGAAAAAAAAAATGAAGAGGTGAAATGGATCATTTTTGTATTTGAGGAAATGGTTTTATTACAATGATAGAAACTGTCATGGTACATTTACGTAATTTACATGTTGAGATATATAAAACCATTAATGTAGCCTCACCCAACAGCTTGAAATGGTTCTTTACATGGTTCTTTACAACCCAAAAGCTTAAGTTGTTGGATGAGACTACATTAATGGTTTTATATATCTCAACATTACATGTGGTCAATTTTTAGACTTAGTTATTGAGAAAGAGAAACTAAAGTGAAGAGGTGAAGTGGATCATTTTTATATTTGTTGAGCACTCTTAGTTTCAGTCTTACTGTTGCGTTTCAATTTGGTTTACAGATTGTTGGCAGCAACTCCGAGGAGCATCAAAAAATGTATGGGAGGCATTTTGAGATTGATGATGAACTTGTAAGCCATGTTTCACGGAGATCTATTGATATACTCAAAACTAATTATCGGGTAAGTTATTAATAATAAGCATCAGGAGCAACGTGTATTTAAATATTTATGGATTTTGTTGAACTGTCTCTTAAAATTTACACTATTGATTGATATAGGATGATCTTAATATGGAGGAATGGAGGTTGGTTGTGAAATTGAAGAATCTTTTCAAGATACAATGAGGAGATTTGATGTGTAGGCACTCAAGTATTCATTTCAGAAAAAAAAAGGTTTCAGTGAAATGTTTGTTCTATGCAAAACTTCGAAGGTTGGATCCAACATGGTGACCAATAAGGGTTCTAAATTGCATTTTTTTTTCATGAGGGAAAGCAAAATTTCACGGGAGTAATTCTTGATGTGACAAAAAAATTTAGTTAGAGCAATTTAGCTGCTGGTATTCAATTACAAGAAAATTATAATTCTTAACTTGTATTTAGTGAAAAAATATTAAATATAGCTGTTATGTTTTGTTTTTATGTGTGTGTGTGGAGGGGGGCTTAATGTATTTTGGATGAACACATAGCACTTCCATTAGTTCCATAAACTAAATAAATATTTAATTGAAATTAAATAAATCAAGGGAAATATTAATCTTATATAATAGGAGACAACAAATCTCTCTTACATACTCAAAAAGGTATGGGTCCCATTTTAATTTTTTCCTTCTCTTTTCATATACAATGGGATCCATATAAAATTGTGAGTGCAACAAGAGATATATCTCTTGTTGCATAAGAAAATATAATCTCATAAATCAAATGGTTTAAAGGAAGGAATTGAAGTGATCTCTGTACAGAAAATATTTATGCGAAGGTTGAACATTGATTGTGACGTTGTAAAGATTTCATGTTTGAAATTCATTTATAGTAGTTAAGGGGGGGAAATGTGATGAAAAGTACAAATAAACTGATAAAAAGTATCAACTCTCATAGTACGGAGAATACATATAGAACCAATATTTTCATTTTGATCAAGACAATAATAAACAAATAAAACATAGGGATTTACACCCAAAAAAAAAAAACATATAGGTAAAAAATGAAGAAGGTAAAAAGGGGGAAAAGGTATAACATAACAATATTTGGAGTATTGAATTTTTATGTAGAGTTGAAAGGGGAAACATTAAACGAGAAGACTAGGCTCTGATTGATTACTGTTTTTAAAAACAGTTTTTTAGTTTTCATAACAAAAAAACTCGTTTGGTAAGGCTTGTTTTGTAAAAAAAAAAATTAAAACTGTAACTATTTTTTTGTTTTTAGAATCAAATTGAGAGAACATGTCTGAGTTGTTTTTGTTTTCTGTTTTGGTTTTTAACTTTCAAAACAAAAAATATATAGAAAACAACTGTTTTCATAATTATTCTACAAAACAGTTTTAAAAACAAAAAAACCAAAACATAATCAAACACGCCCTAAATTCTCAATCTCTATTAGCATTAATTTCAAGGGAAATATTTTAGAAAAGGCTATTTGATTGAGAAGAAAATAATTTAATTATATAAATATATTAAAAATTATAATATAACAAACTATCTATTTAAAAATAAATTTTAAAACTATACATATAATATTATTTATGTATAATTATTTTAATCAGGAAAACAAACAAATATTGGTCATGCAAAAGGCCAAAGTTCCTTTATTAATAATCAAAACATGTTTTGGCTGCAAAAATACTTTATCGAAGTTGACCAAAGCCAATTTTCAATATAAATAAATAATATGTAAAACCGCCTGATATAAAGTAGCGCTTGTAGCTCAGTGGATAGAGCGTCTGTTTCCTAAGCAGAAGGTCGTAGGTTCGACCCCTATCTGGCGCGCAAATTTTTTTAGTGATCCTGAATCATATAAAAATGGATAATCCTTCTTTTATGATTCTGGATCACTAATTTTTATTTTCGGCGTAACATTTTGTTAACATCAAAATAGTTACAATATCAATAATTGGTTTCTTTTTTATGGTCCTGGATCACTAAATTTTTTTTTCTTTGGCGTACTATTTTGTTAACATCAAAATAGCTACAATATCAATAATTGGTTCAAGTGATAAAGAGATTTTTTTTTAAGTTTGAGACATTGAAATGGAGAAAATAACTAGACTAATTGGGTAATTGATGAACCTATTAAAAACAAGAGACATGTTATATTTACAAACTTTTTTGTTTACAAACTACACTATATTCTTTCGGGAGAATACAAACTTTTACAAACTACACTATGTTCTCCCGGGAGAACACAGTGTAAATTATAAAAAAATTCAAAAAAATTTGTAAACGGATCTTGTCCCTAAAAACAATTGTAGCTACAATTTAACCAAAAGTTCATCCCTTAAATCAAGGAATTGGTGTCTAAAATAATAGTTTCTTGAAATGAAGGATTTTGAATGAATATGAAATTTAGTTTCCTCCATTACAATGAAAGTCCATATTAAAAGATGAGATAAATTATATTTATAAATTTTTTATTTACAAACTACACTATGTACTCTCAGGAATATTACATAATGTAATTTGTAAAAATTTGTAAACAAAAATTTTGTAAATATAACTGTCAATTTAAAATATTCCTATATTTAAATTTACCCTACCTAGGAAGGTTTCTTCCCACTTTGTGCATTCACCTCTTGTCCAAGGATGGCTTCATCTCATTACTCTTCCCACCTTACTGCTTGAGTACTTGTTGTTCAGTCATATAATTTTATATTACCTAAAAGGATTTTTGCTTGTTACTTGCTCGTTAGTCTACATAGTACACAGTTGCTTTTTTCATGTCGCATATTAACTTAACAAATTATTTTCACTCAATTGTTTAATGGGTCCTTGTAGAAGTTTCCTTTTGCATTTATGCTATTATGCTGTATTGGGTTGTAATAAATTACATATCTTTTAAATATTATAACTAACTTGTGTTCTGTTAAAATATTAAGTAATTATAACTAACTTGTGTTCTGTTAAAATATTAAGTAATTTTTTAATTTTTCTTCTTTATATATTAGTCGGTATTCATAAATCAATTGTAAAGGGAAAAATCGAGATATTGTTTAATGCAACTTTATGGCTAGAAGCCTAGATCTTGGTCATACCAAGATAAATTTAACTTTGTTATAGTCATAAACAGAAAATCTATGACTAAATTGTACAGACTTGTCTGAAGATAGCATATATCTTTTGCAAAAAGCAGATAAAAATTGACAATGAATAGCTTAAGCAACTGCTCCAACAGGTACACCACCCTTGAGCCTGGATGAACCGTACATGGTTTCTTCAAACCGGATGATCTCATTCTTGGATCCATAAGCAACTTGAGTTCTGTCATCAACGTTTGTGATGACCTTGTCTAGCACAGATTGTTGACCATCACTGCTGTAACCACCAGCTTTTTCAATCAACAACCCCAAAGGAGCTACCTCAAACAGCAATCTAAGCTTGGCTTTAGCAGATGGTGATGCCACATTTGTAAAGACACCTTTTTCTTTTACAATAATCTGCATTCAAGAAGACTTTTTCAAAAACATATTATGCTACGTTGGTTGAAAGTGAGCTTCAAAGAGAAGTAGCTAAAATAATTCCAAAACAAGACCACATTAGAATGTCATGTATGATTGTGTTGAGAAAAGAACCTGGTTGACATCAGGCACCATTCCTCCAGTGTATCTCAATGTGTATTTTTCTCTGACATAGTAATCGACCAACTAATGCATGACAAAGAAAGATGTTAGTGTTCATTGATAAATGTCATATAATACTAGAGATAAATCTTCCTTTTCTGATATTAGACTATAGGTAGACCTTGGCATAATTGGGGTTGTCACTTGTGGCTCTCAAATTTCCCGGGGAGAATAGTTTTCCTTCACCAATTTCTGTAGTCTCTTTGACATGCTGCCATTTTCCTGAAATATAAATCAGATAATTTTTCATATGATATATAGCTTGGATAAGACTCTTTTTAGAGTGAGCTTGTCTCTCAGGTGAACAAGTGAGGGTGCATCCATCTTTGATTTAATATAAAGTGCATCGTGATCTTATATCAATTAAAATTTAAGTATGGATACATCCTTACCTCCTCAATTTAGAGACAAACTCATTTTTGAGGAGCTTTTTCCACAAAATTTTACACTATTGCAAAACAATGAAGGAACATATATACAATTTTCGAATTAAGAAGTCTAGAAAGTCATTGAGTAGTTCAATTTTAAATGACCATATCATAATGTATAACTAGTCCCTTACTAGATTCTTATAAATCTTGTGGCATCAAGCTTACCTTCATCAAGAAGAAGAAATTCATGGGTGCCAGGGAAGTCCTTAAGAGCAAGCACATATGTGGTTCTAGGACCCAAAACCCCCATGGCTGCAGCAACTTGATCTCTTCCAGTGACCCCAGTCAACTTATCTCCAGGCCACACGCCAAAGATGGTGCCTACTGTGAAGTTTGTATCCACGATGCTTGAGCCATCAAGGGGGTCAAATGCAACACTAAATCCACCTGTTAGTTTCATATTCACACAAATGCATAACCTCAAATAATGACATCTTTGTATTTATAAGAGAAGAATCAAAATTTAAAGGCTAGTTTAATATAATTGTGGCAGACCTTCAACTGGACCTCCCATGTCCTGGAGCTCAGGAATTTCTTCTGAGCATGCATACTTGCAGAAGTGAGAGTAATTTAAGGCCTATGCATAGAACATTGGAAACGTTAGCTTCATTGCACATTGAAAATAAGATAGCATTGTATTACTATTACTGAGGGGGGGAAAAAGTCAAGAATTCAGTTCCTTATAAAAGTTTTCTAATTACTAAAAAAAAGTTCAGTTATGCATAATATCAAAGAAGCTCATGGTTAATCCAGACCATAACAAAACCAAGTAAAGCCAAAAGGCAAATCCCAGTAAAGGTGAGGATTAGGTTGTATCCTTTCATAAATCATTTGAATTGGTTTTCATAAATGAACTTTGGGGAACTAATACTTTAAATGGAAATGGTTTCGTACATCAGATTCCCACATGACAAATAACACTGGCAACTAAACTACTTCTCCTATTCTAGGGAAATGATTCTTGCGTATCATTTTTCATTTATATCACAATTTTTTACATCAAAATTATTCAAAAGAGCCAAACACTTATGGGCACTTTTTATAGAAATTAGACCATTCTATGTGTGCATGAATTGGATTAAACTAAAAGTATGGAGAAATAAGAGGTACCAGCATCAGGATTTATTGTTTAATTAGATAGAAACTTATTGACAATACTGGTCTAACCTCAAAAAGAAGCTTGTTAGCCAGCATATCCACAGCAAGTTGTTCGTCCCCAAAAGAATTAACACATTGTGTTCCACCACAAGCAGCTGTCTTCACTTTGAAGGAAATTGTTCTTAATGCTTCTCCCATGCACACCATCAACCTGATCAACCCCTTATCTGGTGTTGCCTTCGTGAGGAATTCTTCCTACAATACACAAAACATCAACATCAGTTCATTTCGAATGCATGTAAATTTTAAACCACAAATTCTGTGAGTTTGACACAGGAAGTGCTCTCAACCCTACAGACTCAGATGAGAACTTTCTGCTATGTAAATAACTCACCAGACTGTCACCAATTTCACATTTGGTTATGAGTGAAGAAGTATCCTTTGTCTTTGAAACCTTTGGTGTTGATTTGGATGCCACTCTTAAAGATTCTCCAAATAAAGAGCTTGATTTCAGACTCTGTCATTACAAATATATATGTTCACTTTAAACATCCATTTTCTTTTCTTCAATATAGTGTCATGATATCTCATGTAGAAGTAGTTACACAAACAAAGAATAAACTGCATGACATAACTTTCAAAGTTAAAGTGAAAAGACTTTAATCATTGAAATGGGAACTCTATGGTTCTACATACCCTGAAGCCAAAAGATGGAGAAATGGAGGGTGGAGAGTGCTTGGAAGAAACACTAGGAAGGAAAGTTCCACGGGTGTAGCATGCTATGCCTGTTTCCATGGCTGCAAAATAGTGTCCAAAGGTTGAGGGTGTTATTGCATTCACAATGAGACTGAGAAAAAAAGAGAAGAGGGGATAGCAATTAGTAGATAAGTGGCTAACTATGCATGTAGTGCCACGTGGCAGGTGCTGAGTAGATAGGTTGATGAAACTGCATATCGCAAGTGTTTATGTGGTTGTGCTATGGTCCTATATATATAAAGAGATATGGTGGGGGAGCTACTAGCCCCACTGTGTTTGTTAGTTTGTGACTTTGTGCTTAACTGTCTGTGTTCTGCATGTTTTGTTGTTCAGGTTTCACTTGTTAGCACCATAAACTGGAGTTATCAAATGCACTTTAGATTTTGGAAGTGTACACAAAGCTAATATCCTTGCCAAACTTTCTTAAACCGTGGAATGTGTGATTAAATAAAGGAAGAAGACATTAAAATTTAGAAACCTCACATGTAATACAATTAAATATAATAAAGGGTGCGTCTGGATCGTAATTTAAAAAACAAAATAAAATTGTTAGACTTATATTATATAAAAAGGTGATCTTCAGTTAACCATTTAAGTTTGATATCAAAAAAATTTAATTAAATAATTACAAGTGCTTCGTGTCCGACCAAATACTTGTTGCCCGAGGGGTTATGTTAAATATATAATAAATAAATAAAATCATTAATAGTAGCATATTCTCATTCAGAATTGCCCTACTTTTAGCCTCGAGTGGGATGAAACTAGTAGCTACCTAGGCTACGGCCTCGGTTTTTCAAGAGCTTTTAGTTGGAATTTTACTTACGTGATAAATTTGAATAAAAAACATGAGTTTAAATTAATTATGGTCACTGGATCACTGGTTCAACAAGTGGATTGAACTGCGTGACTCGATGATTATATATAAATTTATAAGAGTAAATACTTTTTTTGGTCCTCAGCAAATTTCACTATGCCCGCTTTAATCCCTAGCAAATAAAAAAAGTTATTCGTGGTCTCTAAAAAATTCAAAATAGACCCATTTAGTTGAAATCATGATCCTCACAAATTCAAAAAAGACCCACATTAGTCCCTCAAAAGGACTAAAATGGATTCACTTTAAATTTCTTAGGGACCACGAATAGCCTTTTTATTTGCTAAGGACTAAAGCGGACATCGTAAAATTTGCTGAAGACCGAAAATGGTATTTACTTAATCTATAATTTATATTAAAAAAATTATAAATATACTCATATAGTTAAAAAATATATATAAATTCTAAATATTTTAATATAAAAAATAATAAATTACACATTATTGTCAATAAAGAATCAAACAAACATATAATACTTGTGACATTGGTGTTTCAGGTTCAGTAAACGGCATCTCTAACTATAAATTCAATCAAAATTTTCTGCATAGTGCATAACTGAGATAAGATTAGTATTGTAGGTACATAACTTATGTAAGTCAATAAGTAACAGATCACTCAAATATGTCAATTATAATTATTATTATTTTGGAAAACTTGTTTTTCACCAAAACCGGACGGGTCGCACCAGGTTGTAGTGAGTTTGATACTTGATCGATCCAATGTGATAACCGGACCGGTCAGATGACCTGTTCACTGAGTTTCGGGTCAACCCGATCGATCCGGTCCGATTTTCAGAACATTGTTATAAACTCTACAAAGTGGGATTGGAATTTAAATTTACTTTAAATTTTAGTAAGTAGACTATATATTAATATAAGCATATTTTTTACGTCTTAAATGTTGCCTTCTAGCTAACTAGCCACTTATATCTATGTTTGAGGATGTTTAGTCTTACAGCATAAATTTTGTAATAATAAATTTGTTACAATCAACCTTCTTTTCTTTCTTTCTTTTTTTACTTATAGTTTAGCAATTTTGGAGATTAAATTAATAATCTCTTTTTTTTAGAGTTTAAATCTTATTTTCAGAGTTTAAGTTAGTCTCCCAAGGGAAAAATGGAAATAGAAAGTAAAAAGAACACATGGTGAGCATTGAAGATTGAGTGATGATAAGTGAATAGATTTTTATGAGAGAAAAATCAAAGTTTAAATTGTTGAAAAAATAAAAGTACTCTCATAAGAGGCACGACAATGTCTATTGGATACGTTTAGAAAAAGAAAATTTGATATTCGACAAATTAAGGATTTCCCACTGTTCAGTGTTCACATGATTTCCCACTGTTCGCACACTTCACACATGCAAAGTAAACACGCAAAAGAGCAAAACAAAGGAAAGGCACATAAAAAAATAAAGGAAGCTTCCTTCGGAGGGTGAGTCATCATACAACAGAAACATGTATCCTCGTGCATTCTAGTGCAATACATTAATGTCTTTGTGTTTGGCATTCAAGTGAAATGGTGTTTTCTTCAAGATTTTGTTTTGGCAAAGAGTAATGTCTTTCTCAGGTGCTTATCTCACTCATCTTGTTCTGAAATCTGAACCGATTTCAGTTCTTGGTTGATTGCAAACCCATGTGGTTTGGCTACTTGAACTGGATTATAGGTTAGCTTATAGCTTGAAGCTATGTCTTCTTATGTCCATCAAATGGAGCAGCAGTACTCTGCACGTAATCTCTCAGATGATTCTGGTATGTAATGCCAACTTTGTCACTCTTTGGCTCTAAATGAATTTGAAAACATTAGGATCTATTGTAGAGCCTGCACATGAATAGAGTAATGTTTGGAGTTCAGTAATTATCCCATGTACTTTATGCAATTATCATTATCATCAATCAATGGATTAACTTGTAAAAAGTAGTGATTGAAGTAACACTTCCTCCACTGGGGGAGCCAGGATTGGAGGGGAGGGAGGCGAAAATTAATTTTTTTGTCTTACATAATATCAGTATTTTTTGTATTTATTGACCTCGTATCAAAGTAAAAATAATAGACCTTGTTCACAGCAATCTTATCCTTTTAGCACCATCCAATTGTAACTCTTTCCTTTCTTGTTCACAGAGACAGGAAGCCATTATGAACTGGAATCAGGATTCTACATGACTTCTTTTACCGCAACAATCTTTGTAGCTTCACTTGTCACTCTTGGAGTTTTATTAATTGCTTTACTGATTTCCTTGGTGATTATGCTGCAATCATGTCAAAGTAAAAATGCTGGAGTTATTGAGCTTCTGAAAATAAATGATTATTACAGTCATTGCAGGGTGTATTCTCTACAAGCTGAGCTCAATAACTTTGAAGGATATAATCTTCCTAACATCTGCAGAGACCTGGCTATACACTATATCAAAGGAGGTCAATATGCTAGAGACTTGGATTTAACCATGTCTGCGATTGATGATTACTTTAAGAGTGTTAGACCTCCAGATGATGGTTTGGATATGGTGTTGATGGACATAGATGACATTTTCCCTCCGAGTCCTTATTATTCCGATTTGTTTCACAGGTAATTTCTTGCAACTAATGCTCGCTGATACAGGATAATGTAAAATATAGAAAAATGCCCACATCAAAGACAAGAAGGTATTGTGGTGTCAATTTGTATTGTTATTGATTTGTTACACCAACTTGCATCAGTTTACCAATTTATATTTCTTGCTACTCAAACTTACATCCTTTATGTAGTTCTTCCAACTTGATGCTGATCTTCATTATTTGTTATTGCAAGTAACTTGACATGGAGTTTCTTTTGGAGTAGGTTTCATAATGACAGCATTAGCAACTGTATCAAGGAGGCAAAGAATGTAAAGCTCATGCTTGCTTTAAGATTATACAAGAACCTTCAAACTGGTGGATGGTCTATAATTTTGTTATCAAGAAAGCCTGAAACGCACCGAAATGTCACCATTAATCATCTTGTCTCTGCGGGATTTGGAGGTTGGTCTTCCTTGATGATGAGGTATAGTGATTATGTTCTTTTACAGATCCAAGATAAGGCCTAATGAAAGATCTCAATTTGCATTCTCTCGAAGTCTTATGGGTTCTCAAAAGGTTTCAATGCTTAAAGTTGCTCTTCTTGGATTGAGGTTTACAAAAAAGTTTTAGAGATGCTGTTATATTCAGACTTGACTTCATATCTAAATATCTCCCACTCACTTAATTTAGCTTTAGCTTTACCAAAAGCATAATATAATAACTGAATCTTATGCTGCCAATTATTTGCATTTTTTCAGAGGAGAAGATTCAGATTCTACCAAAGGGAATGAGTACTTTTCTAGGCAAAGGAATGTGATCCAGAGGAAGGGCTTCCGAATAAAAAGCATTATAAGCAGCCATATGGATGCGTTGACCGTTCCAGATACAGGAATACGAATTTTTTTGCTTCCAGACTCTGTATGCGACAAGTTTGAGCAGCAGATAGAGAGCATAGATACTGGACATTAGTTTCGTGATTCATCCTTCATCCTTCACGAAGACAGAATAGCTATTATTATATAGGTTCTTATTCTCTGAAACTAGGTTTGTTTTTGTTACACAATCAAATCAATACAACATAATTTAGTATTACCTCAAAAGCATAATCATAGCTCTCCAACCTAGTGGCATGTTTAGTATTATGTAGTCATGCATCCGTGAACACCCATGTGTCAGATACTATGTTATCAAATATCTTTTTGTTTTAGCTGAGGTGTGACACTTAGTAAACACAGTTCCATGTATCTGTGTTGTAAATAGTAATTATGTAGTCATTTATTAGTAATTATGTAGTCATTTATTTGTATTGAATAGTAATTATGTAGTCATTTATTTGTATTTATTTAGTCCGTTACTTGTATATTGGGCCAAGCCCATTAGGTCAAAATTAGGTCAAGAAGTCTCTATAAATAGAGACCCCTATGTACAGATTCAAATACGATTCAATAATATTTCAAATACCCTTTTATTTCAAGTATGTGGAAACGCAAAAACTCATCGGAATTACCTTGTGACACATTTCCCACACCAGAGAGTGCGTGGATACCTCTTGGTCTTAAAAATGATATATGTATGTTTATGATTTTTATGCTTGATATAAAAAAATAAAATATGCATAAAGTACCAAAAATATAAAGATTTCAGATGTCTTTGTATTCAACTATCCCATGATTCTAGCATTCCAAGCATGGCATATTATGCACCAATGTGAGATATACCAAAAACACAACGTGCAAAACAGCCAGAATAGATATTGGAAAGTTACTGGAATCTGAGGAAATTGCTGAAATACTTATAATCATATTCCTTTGCATTGCTTAGCGGATTGATAATCACGCATAAATTATGGGACAAAACCTGAATATTTACTAGCTTATAGTTATTCAATTCTCAATCAACAGTAAACATAAAATAAGTAAGACCAAGAGCAAATAATTCCTGTGCAGTCTTTTGAGCGCCAGTCCTGCACTCCAGAACAAGGTCCTGCAATTTAGAATATTCACAACCAGACTTGAAAGGTCCACAAACTAAAATCCGTGTTTGTTGAGTGAATCAGTTGCCCTAACATGGTACCCCTGTTAAGCACCTTTTCTTGCACCACTTTCTCATTTTTATTTTTATTTTTTTGGTACAAAGAAACAGTTAACATAGAGAATGTAAACAAGAACTCTCTCTACATAATCTGATTTTGAAATATTCAGATTGTAAATAAGTACTCTATGTGACTGAATTATAAACCAAATTCAAATGGTAAAGCAATCACAATAAAATAAAATTAAAAAAATATTTAAGAGGTTTGTAAAACAAGGGAAGGGAAGAAAAACTCCATTATCATTTATCAGTTTATTACATTAATGAGTTAGATATACAACCTAGAAAAAAGTATTGTTACATTTGTAAAACCACCCCTTGAAAATTTATATCATCGCCGTACAAGGAACAGACCACTGCATAAGCACCAAATTATACAAAGTAATGGAACCAAACAAAAAAAAAGATGAGTATAACAAAAACCTAGAGTAAAGGTGGACCAACAGACTGAAGCCGCTGCAACCAAGAGATCCTAAGATTAGGCTTTTTCAATTGCAGAAAAATTTCCCTATACTCCTGCTTAAGAAATACATCTAAAGCAAACAAGTAGAGGTCACATCCTTGCTCTATTTCTTCCATTCTATCAAGGCATTCAATGCATTCACCAATACTATAATTACGTTTGCTTTCAGTGGATGAAATTGCATTAGCATTGTTTTGAATACTCACACCATTTCTTGATGCAACAGCATCACAAAGACATTCAATTTTCTCATCTAAGTTGGCTGCGTCAGGTACTTTTGCATGCAAAGGGAAAGTAATAACGCTATCATCACTTTTCCTTTGTTGCACAACAGGTTCAGTCTCCCCAGTAAAAGTAGTTCCGTTAAAGATGGCTTCCAATATGTCAGTGAATTGTAATTCCTTAAAGCGAAATTGTGCAGCTTCTGGGTTTGCCTGTACCAAAACCATAACGATGCCATGAGGAACAGAAGAAATCATGAACCTCCCTAAGATTCAAAAACTTGCAACAAATACAAATTAAGTGCATTCAGCAATTTAATATACCTGTAAATAGTTGGTCCAATCTTCTTCACTAGCCTCAAATTTCTGGTTTGATGGATCCCATTTCATGTAATTAGTGCCAATAAGCTTACACCAAATTTTCCATTGTTCCTTGGTAGAATCCCAGCGATTCTTAAGTTGTAATCTATCATAATTCAAACCAGATTTCGAATAAAATGATTCCATAATATTCTTCCAACCTTCCTTTGTAAAATGTGTCCCAGGCTTATTCCCCTTTAATGTCTCTTGCAGACATAGATCAACAAAAATCTTGTGCACTGAAGGGGTCCAAGTGGCTTTGACCTTAGGATTTGATGAACTGGACATACTTTGCTCACTTGTAATCGTATTGATCGGCGTAGCATCAACCACAATGGTACTCTCTAATTCACAAACTGAAGGGGTCCAAGTGGCTTTGACCATAGGATTTGATGAACTGGACATGCTTTGCTCACTTGTAATCGTATTGATTGGTATAGCATTAAACACAATAGCACTCTTTATTTCACAATTCCTAGCAACATTCCTCCGTTTCTCTTCTCGCTCTTTTCCACGCAATGGAGATGCAGCTGAAGCATCACTCTGCCTCTTAAGCCTGGTTGATGTTTTCATTTCCCCAGTTTCCATTCCTCCATCAAAGATGATGTCCAATTTGTCAGAAAACTGGATTTCCTTAAACCGAAATTGTGCAGCTTCTGGAATTAACTGTGACAAAATAACTTAATTATTATTAGTCTGAAACCATGAAGAAGATCTCTTACTATATTGAACGAATATTAATATACCTTAATACAATTACGCCAGTCATCTTCAGAAGCACCAAACTTATTGGTTTCCGGGTCCCATTTCATCCTATCATCACCAATCAACTTAACCCAGACTTTCCATTGTTTTCTGGTTGAATCATAGTGATTCTTAATTTGTTTTTTGTCATAACTCAGACCACTCTTTGCATAAAAGTATCCAACAATATTCCTCCAACCCTCCTTGGTAAAATGTGTCCCAGAGTTATTCCCCTTCAATGTTTCTTCAAGGCATAAATCAACAAATATTTTATGGTGTGCAGGTGTCCAAGTGGCTTTTATAGTTGGCGTAGCATTAATCAAAATGTCACTATTTGATTCACAATCTCCACCAACATTCTTACGTTTCATCTCTTGCTCTTTTCCACGCAAAGGAGATGTAGCTGAAGCATCATTCTGCCACTTAAGACTGGTTGAACTTCTCGTTTCCCCAGTTGGTATTCCTCCATAAAAGATGATATCCAATTTGTCTTTAAACTCTATTTCCTTAGACTGAAACTGTGCAGCTTCTGGGATTGCCTGAGACAAAATGGCTTCATGAATCAATTATCTCAAAAACTCAAGCTATGAGATGAATACACATTAATGATATTATATTATATCTCTAACATTATCATCTTGGATGAACATCAATAATCATTATACATACCTTGATATAATTGTTCCAGTCTTCCTCAGAAGCACCAAACTCATTGGTTTTTGGGTCCCATTTCATGCTACTATCACTAGTCAACTTAACCCACACTTTCCATTGTTTTCTGGTTGAATCATAGTGATTCTTAAATTGTTTTTTGTCATATCTCACACCAGTCTTTGCATAAAATGATCCAATAATGTTCCTCCACCCCTCCTTAGTAATAATATGTGTCCCGGGCTCATTCCTCTTCAACATTTCGTTGAGGCATAAATCAACAAATATTTTATGGAATGCAGGTGTCCAATTGGCTTTAGAAGTTGAAGTAGACATCCTTGTACCATGAAAAATGTTCTGCTAGCTTTTACATGCAATTAACTACGTAACCAAACCAACCAATTTACCAACTTCAACTTGATTCCTTGCAATAAGTTCCAATCCCTATTATTTTTATTTTTATTTATTTATTTTCCAATCCTTATTTTAAATCCCCCCAAACACACCGCAATAAATAAATTTGAGGGAAAATCATACTCAAAGCCAACCAGAACAACTATTAACATATTAAAAAGAAAAAAGGAAAAAGAAACATACTGACTCTAAAAACTAAAATAACTTCTACTAAGATACAAAAACCTTTTTTTTTTAAATGAATTATAATATAAATTCGACAAAAATCTATGATGCTACTACATGCACGTGCATGTTCCGATAATAAATGGAATTAAAGCACGGCATAAAAAAAATTAAGCGAAAATGGGACAAGAATTGAAAAGGAAAAGGAACGAAAACAATAAAAATAAAGAAGGCAAGATCAATTAAAGTACTAACTTTGCTTGATATCACGAGGTATAAGCGTCCAAAAGATTCAAAAGAAAATGAAAGAAAAGGGGAAAATAGAAAAAAGGGTTAACAGCAAGAGAGAGCGAAGAGACGAAGTGTAATACCTAAGATTCAAAAGGACAATGCTGCATTTGAAACAACTGTGTCCCAAGCACTTCGGAAACTCAAGTATTTTTTTGTTTCTGGAACATCAGAAACTCGAGATTTTTTTATTCTCCCTGTGATTTTACGTTGTTTTGTTACGACTAAAAACGAGGCCCATATACAGCCCTTTAATTTGATGAGGGGCTAATGTGTAGCTCGGTTTACAGCCCAGGATGAAAGCCCAATATCATGCTTTAGAAATTAAAAATGTGGGGTCTGAATTTTCAGAATTAAAAAAAAATAAAAAAATTATAATACCTTTTTGTAAAAAAAAGTTCTAAGAATTATATCAATTTTTTAGTTTTTAGATTCAAATTTAGAAAATTTTAAGTTATTTCTATTTTGTGTTTTGACTTTAAACTTTCAAAATAAAAAAAACACAATAAACACTTATTTCATTAGACAGGAATCCATTCTATAAATCTTAAACAAACAATAATTTTGAACCCGTAAAATTAATTTTCGAAGAGTTTAAAATCTAAAATAATGATGCACTAAACAATGTCTGTTTGCTAGACAATGCAATTTAAAAGTAAGAAACTAAAAGCATGAATGATTAGATTTTCTAATACACTTTTATCAGTTCTTAGCTCCTATTTTACTAGCCACATGTTATATAGTGGACTTAGTGTAGTATCATACGAATAGGAGTATATAAAATTTTCTAGTCAAAATTTTCTTAGTTCCTAATATCGAATAATTGAGATTTGATAAAAAAAAAAATTGTATAATGTTTTAAATTTAATCAAACATCAGTATATAAAAATTTATTTTTGCCACTAAGATTTTTTTATGTTCTCTCAAAGTACTATACCGTATGTATGATTGAGATTTGAGTAAAATTTTCTTATATAAGGTTATAAATTTAACCAAACATCATGTACGGTTCAAGGGTTATAATTTTAGTGTGGACTCTATGCTTCCTTTTCTTTTTACAGTCTCAATTAAATTCTTCAATATATTATTGGATTTTTTAAAAAAAGAAAATGCCTTCAATATATTGTTTGTTACCATTTTTACTAGTCAAAATTTTACTTTAAGCTCAATCATGAAATTCAATAGAACCAAAAGAAAGATATGTCATTATGGGTGTTAAACAAACCAGGGGTCATTCAGAGGCCTTTCAGGGGCCTTTGACTCGCTTTGTGAAGGCCTGAACTTACATGTCTAAAATTGGTTGTTGGCACCAGGCTTGGACGTGTATAAAAACTCGTTTAATAAAAAGGCATCAGGCTCTAATTCAAAAACTCGGCTTTAAAGCCTCTCACGCTGACCTAGTATAATATTTTTATTTTTATTTTATATTTTTTATACTACTTGTAATAGCCCTCTCTTTCTCCTCAATCTATTTCACCACATTTTATTGATTAAATAGACTTTTTGAATGATTAAACAGACCAAAAATTTACTTTTCAAAAAAAAAAAAACTAAGGTTGTTGATTGTATATTCTGTTTAGATAAATTGTTGTTGTCTTATTTTTTTAAAACAGGCTAAACAAGGCTTTTATTTTTTATAAATAAGTCAGGTCACAAGCCGATAGTTGTATTTATAACAGGTAACAGGCTTGGTCAAGCTGACACATTTTAACACAGACTTAGTCTTTTAAGACCAAAGCTTGGCTCAGCTCGGCCTGTTAACACTTCTATATGTCATCGACAGAAAACCATTAGTAGTGCAATATAAGACTGAGACCATTACAATGTAAAATAAAAACCAATATATACCGTGAATCAATTGGTAAAATGACCAATTGTTTCGAGTTTGAAATCTAGATATGTTAGATATGTAGTTATGTAAAAAAATTGGTAGGAAGAACTTTATCACTTTTGTAATCCTGCCAGCTCAATTGAATTAGTCAATTAATCGATAAATTGGTGAAAAAAATTTATAAAAAAAAGCTGTACATTTACTTGTTCAACATCCAAGCACCACGTCAAGTTATACCTCAAGGGGGCGTTTGGTATAGGAGAAATTTTTTTTAACCAAGTAAATATTATTAGTGGAGAAATAGTTGTAAAGTAAAATAAGTGGGGAAATTTGAAAAATGTTGTTCGATAGAACGAAATATTACCAGAAAAATTGTCATAAATTTATTGAGACTATGTTTGGTTGAAAGTAAAAGAGTGATGAGAAAATTTGACAAAATTTCGAAAATACCCCTGAATATGATAAAAGACACCGAGCAAATAGACGTTGTACACGTGAAGGCATCACTATGCTGGTTTTGGTCTTTCGCTTTCTATATCTGATCAAGTTCCCTCTTGAGTTGCTTGTTCTTGCTTTTTGACTCCATATGAAGCAACCCATCATTTTTTCCCTCTTTCTTAAGCTATTTGTTGTGGTGGGTCTTTGTTTATTCCACTGGATTCCTTCTAATGAGCTTCAACTAAGAAGTGGGTTGTTGAATTGGAGTTAAACTTTTTAGAATTTGATATGGTTTCCAGTGAAAGGTTGGAGCTTTGGTTGTTTAAGAAGAGAAAGGTACTGGAAATTTTGTTCCAGATTGTATTTGGATGGTGAGTTGTTCTACTGTTTCTTCGTCAAAAATATGACTTCCCTAGTTTAGAGGGGCATTTATGTAACAAAGTTGGCGAATGAAATATGACTTCCCTAGTTTTCTCCGGATATCACCTCAAAAGAGGTCTTCCAAAACAGTGATTAGTGTCCCATTTTACACTGATTTCAGCTTTTGATGGAGAAACACAATGCCCTGCTTTATTTCTGAAACTCCTGTACCAAACACATCATTCTCCACTCCCCACCTTTACTTACCCATCTATCCCCTTAAAAACCATCTACCAAACACCCCCCAAGGATCATACTAGTTGAAATACCATGAAGATAACCACAAAGCTTGCTGAAGTCTACAACCAAAACTTTCTGGATTGCTAGTAAACGTTTCACCAAGCCTATACTATACAGGGCGGATTCATGTGTATTTATTTTAAAATTAGTGTCCATTTTTTCGATAAAGTAAAACAACTAAATATGTTTGGAATATTGTTTTTATCATAAAAATATACTTAAATTTTCTGCTTAACAGTGTTCAAAGAAGAGAGAGAACACAAAACTTACTGCACGCAAATTTGGGGATAAAGTGAATCGGCGATTCTCATTCCATTGCTTGCTGGCAAATCAAGACTTTTACTTCCTCAGGGTGATCCTCAATCAATACACTGTATGGAATTGGGGAAATACCGGGGATGTGTGAGACATTGAAATTAATTGAAACAAGACATTTTTTGTACATTACAATTCAGCAAGGAGAATCCCGTAGTTCAAGGCATAACATACATAAGAATGAAAAACATGAGTTTAAACTTTAGAGAGTAAATCAATCATCAATAGGATAGGCTGGTGAAAATCCTAAATAACTTTTCACATGCAGATGTGAAAGTTCCACATCTTTCTATATTGGTGTACAGAATTACAAATATCAGAATTGAAGGTTCACGGTATAATCATCAGCCTAATCTTGCTTCTCTACGTAACACCTGGAAGATAGAAATTCATAAAAGAAAATATCAGTTAAGAATGAATGCGTGTGCACAGGACAAAAGCAAATTAATGCCAATTACCTCTTCAGCAAATTTTATCAAAATTGTTGTCCGAGGTCGTTGTTGACCTTCCATGGGCACAAAATGAGCTGTTACAACAGCTGGAAATCCGGCACCATCCAAAACACCCTTCATTGATGAATGAAACAAAACAAAACCACCGATTGGACCCTTCTCTAAGAATCAGATAACTAGTTGATGGTAACTGAGCGAAGCAAAGCACTTACCCGTACTATTCCAGCAACAAATGCTCCACAGTTAAACGTTCCCATGTCCTTTGGAATAGAAATGAATCTATAACCAGAAATCCATAAGCTCACTATTAATTGATGTACAAAAGTCCGATGGGTAACAGTCAAATAAAATGCTGAGACAGAAATTACTTGTTTACTAAGAGCTCCTTTTCACTGATCATGTATTCATCTTCATGTTCAGTTCCTTTCTCCAGTGAGTCAGCTACCTAATATCATGACAACAACAACAAAATGAAACTAAGGGAGCTGCTAAAAATTTAAGATAGTTGCCAACATCACATATTCCAAGGAAAATGAGCATATAAATTAGCCAAGAATTTCTGCTTTACATTGTCTCCACAAAGATAAATTAACTGCTCGATTGTTACAAATAACAGTATTAATGCTCCATTTGCTTCAAGTCACATCTCTTACACCATGGATATAACTACAAGATATATGTCTAGGTATTGAAACAGTTAATGCATCCTGTAATTGTGTTTAAGATCTCTAACACAAGATCTATGAAGTAAACCATACAACACATGAACTTTCAAAGACAAGGAAAATCGCGATCTAGAACACACAGTCACAAAAATAAACAGGTTGGTCAAGAACCAAGATTGTATCAATATGTTGATGGTTCTTTTTATAAACAATTAAACATGAGGATGATCTGCCCAATAGACATCCATGAGTAGTAGAGGAATATAAGACTGAGACCAATAGAATGTAAAATGAAAGCATGATATATTTATTTGCTCAAACATCTACAGAGCCTTTGACTTACACTTATAAACAGTTCTTCTC